ATATTTTTTTTTTTTTTAATTTGGGTTGCATACACAGTAAACATAACGTGTTTTTCTAACATATTACGCTGTATATTGGCCAATTTAGCAAAACTGTAATTTCACTAAATTAAGATTCGCTAGTTCATTGAATAGTGTTATTCTTGCATACTGATATTTTTTTTGCATTTTTGGAATCATGAAGGTGCTCCTAATTCATATACCATAGAGTCAAATTTACCAACATGACATGTACATTATAGCTGTGGATGACTTTATCCCACTTTGAATATATTTTCGATGAAAACAAATACCATATTTGCTCTATTAGAAGCATATTGGCTTGGGTAACTGACAAAGTGAATCGTAGACAAAATAAATCATATTTAAAAATAAATTTCAAACTACATTTAGTATTCATTTTTATTATTTCAAAATGAAAATAATAGTATTTACAGTAAACTTTAATTTTTAGTTACTTTCTGTTGTTTAAGTTGACCAGAAAATTAAAAGTTTCTTAATTGTCACGTAATTTTGTAAAACAATGACTATGGATTATACACATAGGAATGTAAGTATATTACACAGTGCGACAATTGTAGAGTTTTAACACATTGCCTACTAGAGCTGTTTTGTACAATAGATGTTGGCAATCTGTGATAATCCATGGATGCTTTCAGTGGACAGCGTGGTGGTAAAAACCTCCGCTGAAAAATTAATCGCACGTGTTTGAACTGTACGCCATTACAAATAAAGCATCTTTAATATAAGCACACATAAACGCTACGTTTATTATATACTGGATTGTTAAAATGCAACTTATTTTGACCTTAGGAACCTTCGTCATCTACAAAAATATATGCTCTACGAACGTAGAGCAAATATAGTATCACTAAACTAAACTAAAAATATAATAACATGTAAATGTTATGGAAAAAACATGCCACGTAGTATTGAGGTAGTCTAAATTAAAAAAATAATAGGCAAACAAATATTAGAACGACCAGTCAATCATGGATAAAGTAGATCAATTAAGACTTAAGTCGATTTTCTATTAATAAAAGCGCAAATTACACGTACATAGTAAATGTTACTGTGCACACAAATTACACTTGACTGCAACGATAATGAGCGGCATTTCGACAGCGTCAATTCTAATACAAATTGTACATTGGTTTATAGCGTCAGTTGAATCGATTATTTGCTTCACATCCATCCATTGAAAGGTGAAAAGGCCTTTTTTAATATCATTTCATGCTGTAGGGAACACCATAGTTATTGCAGAAGAGCTAAGTACAATAACTTGATGAGGTATACATAGTGATACTTCAGTACTGTAGACTGCTTTATTTTCACTGGATGTTATATATATACATGTATATACTATATATACATTTGTACATGCAGGATTTTAATGGGAAAAGTCATTTTTTTTAATTTCCTTCACAATAACTGTAACCATAATAGCTACAGGTGCATGACAGTAAAAATGTCACATTTTTGTGTTTTTATTTTATTTTAATTATTATCTACCTTGATTGTCTATCTTTTAATATATTTTTTCCTATCAAAATTCCATACTTATTATAAACTTAAGATGAAGGAAGAATGACCACCAATTTCAGTTAGTCATTATCGTAAATTTAAGTACAATGCATGTATAAAACAGTCATTTGCGAAAAAATCTGTATTCCACTGAAATTGTAAACTCCCAATCAAGTTTTCCATAAAATTAATACAGGAAATAAAAAAAAAACACTTTATAGACAGATTCAAGTTAAAATTTTTTCTTTGAACAATTTATCAAACAAATAATATGGATGTAAGTGATACAAATGTGAGCATAATTTTTAGAGAAGCTGATAAGAGTTCAAATTGAAATGGCTGAAACATTAGTGTCTGATGAGTGAACATGTTGTCTGCTGTTACCATTTTTTTTACACTCACATTCACAGCTATCCATTGAGACAAACAACAGATAATGAAATAACAGTATAAAAAAAAAAACTGGTTTCAGATCATCACATATGTATCTTATTTGTAAAAATGAAAAAGAAAGCTGAAAATGCACATCACCGCATCGCACCATATCAATTATGATAATTTAATAACTTGATAACTGAAAATTGATGGATAGAAGCACCTTCTGCTCTTGGCAGCTCTGGGAGTTACACTACATAAACCTCTATTATTTGTTGAACTAGAAACATTTTTGAATGACACCATTCAGAAGGTAAACTCACACACTACAAAAATGTTACACCACATTGAAATTAATGGCATTTAAAGTAGATGTGAAAAATGGAGAAAATTACAAAAGTTTGTCAGGGGGGAAGGGACCATGACAACAACACATGGCATTAATTAGGTAACATGCATAAGCAATAAAGAGACAAATTTAACGAGACAATTTTTTTCATACCGAATCTTTGACAGTTTGTTTCAAATGACATCACTGAGCATTTTGTAATATGATGAATTATTTATGAGGAAGTTCAATTTAGATAAATCAATAAGTAAACAAATATTTAAATAGCAGTAGGCGCAGTGATATCTGTTGTAAAAATTGAAATAATTTCAAAGGGACACAACAAATAACCAAAAAACCACAGAAAAGTAACAGAATTTGGGTTGAAAATGTCTATCTTTTGCGAAAGTTGTTCACATTTAATCGGTTCCATGTGCTGCACCACGTTGTATGGTTCACAAAGTAAGAAATAGTTTCTCACTGGCTACAGGTTTTCATCAATACTTTATAATTGACAAATTTATTTTAATGTCAAAATCTGTTTACAATTAATCATTTCAGTATTAGTCAACAGTATGTGAACATTTTTAGTTCACTGTCAATCTGTTTTGGAAAAAGAAAAAAAGATAAAATAATATGCATAAAATGCTATTTTGACCACAAATGAAACATACTTCCTTGTTAAAAACCCACTAAAAATATTGTCAATTTTGTAACACTTATAGACATCAAAAAGTACCTTGTAAGAATTTTTTTTTACCATATCTCACCAAGCAAAGTTTTGATATACAACTGCTCCATAGGAAACAATGGTAAAATGTTCTCAGACAAAAGATGATATTTTCACTGTACATTATTGATCGATTTTCTCCAAACTGATTAAAAACCTCAAATAAGTAATAAATATCAAATAAGTAAAAATAAAGATGACAATTTATTTACTTTTGTGTAGCACTCTACCTAAACAGAAAATGAGTACTAGTTATTTGTCTATTGTGACTGCACCATCCATCATCTTGCACACACACAATACTAAACATCAATAAGAAAGCTATTATGTGACCAGTATTACACAATTAAGCTGCATTTCAAGTTAATAAAGGTCAAAGGTCATGCAGCTTTAATTGTGTGAGAAACTTCGTTGCCGATGTTGAAAAACTAAAGCATGCGCAAACATTACAAATCACTCTCCATTATCACAAAGATGAATAACTTTGCAGTAATACTTTAAATATCATTATTTTTCTCGACGTAAAATTTTAGATCATCTTTAATAGTATTTTGATCATCAAATTTTGGCAAACTTTGAGAGGCCTGAAAACTTCTTAGCAGGGAAAATTTCAGGATGGGTATTTAGGCTATGTTGTGACACCACCTATATATCGCAATGTTTTTATCAGCAAAAAAGAAATTTTTACTTGTTATCTCTTCGTCCACAAGAATGTTTTTTTTATTGAGCACCCTCCCCCCAAGTTATTAAATGAGGAAACCCTTAGAGTTATTGGGTTCATGTCAAAACATTGAGCGCATCACTTACAAGTGATGATTCATTAATTTCAGTCAATAATCAGATATATATAATCAGGTTAAAAATAAGTACATTTGGGATTACAGACGTATCCCAAGGGCTTGCGGAAAATTCATCCTGCAGGGGATTTGTTTGGTTTTAATTCGCTGAAGTGTTTTATATCCTTTTTGTCATTGAATACTTGACAGAAACTGACGGATTTCATTTAATCAATAAAACGTCATCTCTTTACAACTCATATACCACTTATAAAATGTGAAACTTCAATACTGGCTTGTTCTACAATGGATACTAAGTGGGAAAGTGTGTTAGATTTGTACGAGAGAAAAAAATCCACAAAAGATAAACACTGTAAATACATTTTTTTTCTCATTCTTTTTATTTATGCTAAACCATGCTGGAAATTTTAAGTAATTGGTCACAGGTATTTAACTCGGGGATAATAAAGGATTGTACGTGATCAGTGATTACGGAGCATCAAAATCTTTTGAAAGTGTTGTTCTGTCACAGATTAACAGAGGTAAAGAATGTGGCTTCCGATCCATTGACGGCGCGTGATTGTAACTGATCGGATTTCACAGATAAAACAAACGGCAGTGTCTATCGGTCGTGTGTTCTCAAATGAATCGGACATACACGCACACGTGTGCTACTTACGATTATATCGCGTACACATAACCGCACATACGCTGACTGAGCAATCGCGTTAACGAGGGCTATTTATTTTTACTGCATACTGAAAGCCACCCACAAGCATTCGCGGCTAAAGATAACATCTGCATCGCTCGAACTAGACCGGACTATCTCCCACTAGGGAAAGAGTCGATTTGTGAAGAAAACCATACCACTCCCACCCATGTCAAGGCGCTGTCGATACGAAACTTCGACTCAGCGATGATAAGTCGCCGGGCATATCCGTGGTTTGTTTTTATCAGCAATAACAGCATTTGTGTTCAATGATTTTAATACAACTATAGGTTAAATGTTAATCAGTAAGCGCCGAAGGTTATCTGCTATGTTGATTTTCTATGCATGGTATACCTGCCAACAAATACCGACATTCAAAACTAGAGCAACTCAACGCGAATACGGACATACGAATCACCGTACAACTTGGTACATACACATCAACACAAGTAACGTCACACGAAGAGACAATCCGCGTTCACGACTCAAATTCACCCGCAATTACGAAAAAAACCACATTGCATCGTCGGGACTGTTAATACGAATAGGCCGACCTACCTGCGTAACTAGCGGTACCAACGTCTGCTCAATGGACTTGGTTTTAATCTCCAGGTTTTTAGAGTCGAACTTAGCAGCCGCCATCTTTGAAATCCTTATGCAGTTTGCCTCGTTTTCGCCACGCCTCCTTCAATGAGAATTATGGGTAGACCGCACTGCCTGGGGACAGCTGAAACGTTTGCGTGAGGCTTCGTTCTCTCAACGTGTATTTTATTGCCTATGTATTTTAATTTATTGACTGGGATTTGAAATATATAACTTAACTAGCAAAGCCGTGTAGCCATTAAAATTAGAAATATTACTAAAATAGCACCTTTTCTTAAATGTGTTTTTCATTTGTCTGTTTATAACTAATTAAAACACCGTGCGTGGAGCTGGCGTCATTCATTGGTATTTGAGTGAAATGGTACACCGCGAAATCCCTTCAGGAGGTAATTACGGTCCAAGGATTGCGGCTAACCACAAAATTGTTCGATGACTAACACCCATTTGAAAGGAACTGTAAAGCGCGCCATCAATCGGCCATGTCGTGGTATTGTAAGCCGTTTGTTTTACTTGTCCAAACCAAGGACGCTTTATGGGTCGAACGCCCGAACACCAAATTACGCTTTACAGCGGGTGCAGACAAGATTCGTACGGAGAGTTAGCAAACTCCCTAGGAAGTACCTTTGAACATTGCAATATAGCGAGGAACTTTCTCATTAGCGCTAACAAATTATCTAATGTTATGAAAACGATTTGCTACATTTTGTGACAATCACTTCCCATAGCGCCACTTGATTTTGGACTAATTATTAAATTATATCGTCTAGGTATGTACTATCGCTAAGTTGCTGTTTGTTTTCATATTTCATTTGTTGTGGCTATACAAAGGAAATTGTAAATTATCCATACAAATCGTATTTGTGGTCGCTTCAACCGCCTGCGGGGAGTTGAAACATTGATAAGGACTTTCCCAGAGAAGTTGCAATCTCGTTGGCGCCCGCTGTAGTACGTATGAAGTACACAGTATCAACACTAGACAACACCCAGATTATAAAATATTAACAATCGACTTTAAAGTCCATGTGTGTATCATGTTTTGGTGTAAAGTATAAGAAATAATAGAAAATATGGCAATAGTCCTCCACAGTAGTTATTAAGAAAATGTAATACTTACAGCATGGAAGGTAGTGGGACAGGAGAAAAGACACTATTGTTCTCTCATGTTCCACGATCGCTTCGATTTATTTACTTGCTAAACATTCTCACAATGTGATTACTAAAATAATTAGCATTCAGGCCTCAAGGCTGCTCGGAAGCAGTTTTACGGAGAAAATTTGACACCAAAATCACTCAACATTGCAGATACCAAATTTATGATGAGTTCCGCTAAGTATGTTAATTTTATAATATTGTATATTTGGGAAAAATCAAATATTTGTATCGTATTGCTTTGTACGTTGGAGCGCACCACCTATTAGGTGATTTTCCGTTCAACTGCGAGATCTCGCCAGATGCATGAAAGACGCGCCTCGATACCTCGAACGTCTGCTGCAAAAATCGAATGATTTGATTTTCAACCCGAATTTCTTAATTTCGTAGCTTACATTGACCGTCCGATCTTCGACAGAGGAATATTGCTTTCAAATACCCTCACTTAATCGAAATTGTCTATCATCAAGTGTGTACAGCATATTTGGCATATTTTAAAAATATTTTCGCGTTTGTCGAATCCCACTACGACGCTATGACCTTTGTTTGTCCTGTTTTTACGTTCGATTTCACGCATAATGCGTGATTCTCGCAGTGAATGGTCTATTCGCCTTTCCAATAAATCTCACTATCTAGGTACAACTTCATCTGTGACGTCAAAGTGACGTGGATATAGTGTTAAAATAGAGTTGCACAAATCCACTCTGTAAGGTTAGGGATAGTTCGTCATTTGAAACACAGAAAACTCAAAATAATATTTCTTGTTTACTGTCGCTGTGAAGGAGATCTCTTACACACGGTGACTTACACCAATGTTACGTAACTTCGTAGGTAGAATTTAGCTAATTCTAAATGACGCTCATTTGTATAGTATTTATTATCGGATCTGCTACTGAGTGTCCGACTCTGTAGCGCTTCCTCTGTGAGGCACTGTGAAAACGCAATATATGTACTATTTTTTTTTTATTACGAGACTGCTCAGCTGCGACTTCGAATATTTGCCGATGACGAACTTCAGGTAACATATTACTGATGGTTGTAATGTCTTCATTTGTTAGCTGACACGGTTTACCGAGCTTGGATTATGTTTCAAGTTTAAAATGTATTAAAATAAATTTAAAGACAACGTTAGTTATTCAATATAATGATCCACAATTGTGAAAAAGTTGACCTTACCTTCCTTCCTACCTAAGTTGATTTCTAAAACTTTAATTGAATGTATGTGCTGAATGTGGAATTCAGTGCAGATTGTAAGCCGAAAAAGTACACCCCATTGTTGTGTGTACATTTGGGTTAGCATTATAGCGCCACCAGGCGTTCAACTTCACTATTTTCATTTCCATTGTTTTTCTACATCACCGGGATTTTTGAAGAGTATACAGAAATCGATTATACTGCCTACAATTCTAAATGACCGCCTCGTAAACATATATGTTGTAATACTACTTTGTTAATAAGCGTCTACTTCTGATGGCTGTGGTTCTGATGGTTACTGTTCTGTTTGGTTCATTTTCACCGTTGTAAATGAGGTGTTTGCTAAGCTAGCCATTTCAGACTAATCATCACATGCTTATCAAGTTGAATGAATACGTATACGACGACGCTTTAAGTTTCTCCTGTTTATCACGTGACATGTAAGAACATGTGTGCATGCAGTCATTCTTTGCTCTTGGGATTAACTTGCGGAATAAGTTGTGATTAAAGAAGAGCAGAGATCTGGATTTTGTCACTCTGTACACGAAATTTGAGATCTATGAATGAATTCTGACGATAAAAACGAAATGCCCTAAATATCGAGTATAAAACGGGCTGTGAAGTAGACGACACACGTCCGTTTTGCTTGGCGTCATTTCGCCTGTAGAGGGCCAGTCAAATGATGTCATCAATGAACACTGGTAATTGAACCCATTCATTCTAGTATGTCAATCCCATAGAAGTGCTATTATGAATGACCTTGTTAACTGAAAATTTAAAAGTTGAAACATGATGAGGTGTTGTGCGATTTTTAGAACAGTCTACCTTGCTGAAATGTACAATATTATTTTGCAGGGCAATGAGCTCACGCTTCGTATCTCGGATTTGTTTGATACACTCGCCGCTGATCATCGGAGTCAAGCTCACCAAGGCAGAAAGACTTAATTTCTGCAATAAGTGTTTGCGATCTTGTGGCCACCTCGAAGACATAGAAATCGAATACATGTCGTATTATACTGAGTTCATTATTTAGTACAAGAATGGACCCTTTTGGCACAGATATATCCTAAAATGATGCCAATTTATTCCCGATGAAATAACGATGGGTAACCGACCTAGTTTTTGAATAATGAACCCTAATTGTGTTTCTCCAAATTCACAAAGTCGTTGTCTTTCTGTCATGCAAATGATGTCTTTCATGCCCATCCTCAAATTATTTTTCTTGTGATTTTAAAATCTTATCTACGTGACTGGGTGAGTATTCTTCGGTTTCTATTGAATCAATCCCAAACAACACACAATGCTACTGATATGTTTTCCCAAGCTTGTGAAATGCAATATCATCACCGTTTTCAACAAACTACTAGTATCCTAACGAGTCATGCCCTCTTGTGACAGAGCGCTTCTGTGATGTCGTACGTTGTGAAAGAAATGTCGTTCAAAACTGTGGGCTGTGTTTGGTTGTGTAGTCGTTCGTCGTCTAGAGTTTAGGATTCATAAAACGTCGCACTTGTCTACATTTTGCGTACGTGAGCTTGCGCAGTAACTGGTTGGCAATAACTGGTGGTTCGCTCCGAAGATAAAATAAAATATAATGAAATAAAGGCGTTGTTCGCTTCTTCCGTTATTGAATATTCATGTACGTTTCTTGTTAATAAAAAAAAACTAATAAGCAATGTTGACACATATTCTCATACTGTTTGGCAAATATGTAAACATATGACGTGACATTGCGACGGTATGTAAAATCCTTGGTATTACACAGTAGACTATTGGTACCTTCCTGGAAGTCGAAGATCGGCGTTTCGCCTGCACGCGCGCCGTTTTGAGGTGTAACGTAAACTTGCACGCGTGATGCTGTGTGAGCTGCTGGGTGTACCAACCAATGTCATAAAAATAAAAGTATATTCTATCGACTATCAGCAAATTCACATGTTTGTATTTTGCGCCATGACAAAACAGAAGTATTTCTGCACCCCAGTCTCGCTACTTCCGAGAAAGTGGTCTATGTTTTATCCTATATACCATATGTTTTTCTATATCATTCTACGTAATCCGGTGATTGATTCGTGCAACGCATTGCAGATTGAACTGTTGAAATCATGGTTCTTGCACTTTCGGGACCCCGTAGTCTAGTGATTAGTTCACTGTATTTCTTGTCGCATTGTTATGAATTCTTTGTTACGAATTGTTATGTTTTTTTTTTGTTTCGTATGAGAGCTAAAATGTGTGAGTATGTGTTATAAAGCTCCACACACCACACGCGCGAGACATCTTTTCTCCCAGGCAACTTGTCTGCATACCGCATACCTGGCGGCGTCAAATTATAGCTAACTTCGGGGATTCATTTCGTGAATGCCACAGATATAATTGATTTAGAATTAGTAATCATGTTACCAACACACTCCCGTAACCACATACTGGTGAAAATATCTCACAATCAAATGGGAGTAATAAACTCAGAACAGGTGATCATGAATGATATTGAGACAGAACGCTTCACAATGTCTTGAATACATCATCATCACAGATAACGTGTGTAATAAATCTGATAGTATAGTGACACTCATTACGCATATCATTATGTTCTTTTATATTTATATCTGAAAAATGTCTGACAGTATCTGCAATCTGGAATTCGTACACGCGCGTAGTATGAATACAAGCCATGCATGGCACAGTCCCCGTTAGTTATCGAATT